ATATGCTTAGAAGGAGCAAAACCAGCCACCTCTTTCCACTTATCCATTAGTTGCAAGCAACTGGGAAGGAATTTCAAGGGATAATATTTTTTAAAAATATTTTTTATTTAAAAATATATTAAAATATATTTTTTAAAGTTGATGGAATAATATTTATTGTTTTTTTATTTGGATTTGTCTTTTAAAAAGATGATAAAAAAATAATAATATATTCATTATTTCTGAACTTAGCTAAACATTAAGTTTACATATGTGTGGATCTAATAAACTATCAAACTTATTATTTTTAGAGTCATTCAAATATAGAGTTCGTGCTTTTTCTAATTTTGAAGAATCTTAGCTTCTTTTTTTTTTTTTATCTTTATAAGTTAGATATTTTTATTGATAAGTCAAAAATATTTTACTAATACTTAAATTATTTCTCTTCGATAAAGAGTGCTTAGAAGTTATAAAGGAGAGAGATCCTTCAAAAGGAAGTTTGGTTTTTTTTTTTTCATTACAAATTACATATTTACTTTTAATTTTTTTTTAAAATTATAGTTGTTTTCTCTCTTAAATGATATTTATTTGCATGTATGAAACAATATCGAGTAATTATTTATCTAAGAAAAAGCTTATTAGATTGCAAAAATAAAAAAAATAATTAAATATCTCACATATCAACTCGACATGTAAAGCTCGTGAGATAAATTCAAACATCGTTACAAACCAAACACAATTTTAAAATATATTTAAATAAAATTCCAAACATAATAATAAACAATGTATTTGTTTTACCATTTCAGTGCAAAAAAAAAATTATTTATTTCTCAAAAAAACAAAAATGTAGTTTGGTATCAAGTTCATAATACTTATAATGGTTTCGCTTGTCATTACATTTTTATTTTTTTATATAGTTTTTGCTTTTATATAATTCCTTTTTATTATAAATCCTATCCTTTAATTCATAATTATAACGTACCAATCCAGAATTTAAAGAATCGTCCGTATCAAGCCCATGTCACAAGCAAGTCTATGAGGCAATTTACATCAAAATATACAAGCAGCTATATATATGGCCACCCTTTTTGAGAAAAAAGATAATATTAATGTTTTGTGTACGTAAGCCAAGGATTAATTAGAGGCCAATTAATACTTTGAGATTTCGACATTGCATGGAAGTGGGGATTCCTTCTAGTATCAAACCCATATTAAACTAATCACTATGATGTAACATCGAAATATATGCCTTTTGTATCGAAAGACTCGAGTAATTAATATGGAGGCGCCATCGAGAGAGATGGGTCAGAGGGTCTATACATTTTTGCAGGAGAGGAAACTGTCTTTTTTCACTCAATTATTTATATTTTATATTTTTGAAGTATATAAATTCACTTTAAAATTACTTATAAAACAAATTTTTTTATGTTCTTTCTATCTTTCACGATAAAAACATTTATATATTTTTTATTTTATTTCAAAACAGTATAGAGTTTAGAGTTACACTATAGAGGCAGAACAATATAAGAATGATCTTGGAGGGTGATATGATCTTTTTCTTATGTTTTATTAATGGTCACTATTTATTTTATTGATTGGGAATAGCTTTGTCTTTTCATATTTTTAAAGTATAATAAAATAATAAAATTACTTTTAAAAATAAAATTTATTGAACTCATATCCGAGGGTTTTCTGAATTTTCACCAAATAAATTAGAGTTTCGAATTAAAAAGCTTAAATTTATGTGATAGAGGTGAAAATAAATCGAAACGATCCAGCTAAGGACTTCTTTGATTATTTGGCTATTTGTAACCAGGACGACATCGTTTCGCTATGTTTTCTTCGAAAACAATTTTTTTTTTCTGGGGGTTTACTATCCATTTTAAACAATAAAAAAACCTCTCAAATTTTAATTTTATGTGGTGTAATTTGATTAGGGTTGACCCAAGAGTAATAGAACTGGCCATCATATATGATGGGCCTAAAAACCAGATTGAGATTGGGTGAACTAAATCCAGAAAGAATGGCCCACGATCTCTATTTGTTGGACTTCATGTAATTAATGCCCCAAGATCTTTCAGCCCAACATGCGTCCCTCTTTGTCTATTACACAACAAATGCAAGTTCAGAAAAAACCAAAAGCCTCCTCCTAGGAAAATCCACCACAAACCCCAAACAAAACCCCTCAGTAGGCAGTACTGTGTCCTCACCCTTTTTCCTCATTTCAAAACCAACTAGCGAGCAACAACACAGATAAGGAAAATCAAGAACCCCACCAGCAACTCACCAAGAAATGGCTAACTTGAGGACGGCTATGGACTCACAATTCTGGGACCAACCCATTTCTTCCTCACAAACCCTAGAAGGTTGTGCTTACTCCATTCCTGGAGACCCATTTCCTCTTGAAGTCACCAGAGCCAGCAAAGCCCTTAGAGTTCAACAACTCTCTGTCTTAGGCAATGGCTTCCCTCTTGGCACCATTCCCTCTTTCTCTCCTACTTCGACCAAGGACCTTGGCTCTTTTTCTCTCCAGTCTCTCTTCCTCAAACTCGCCACCTCTAACAGGTAAAATGATAGCAAAATGTTCCATTCTTTTTGGCTCACTTCTTTGCTACCAATTGGTGTGATGAATTTGATTGTTTTTTTTTATGTGCAGTTGGCTAGGATTAATTGGCCAATTTAGACCAAAGAAGCTGATTTCTTCTATTAAAGGAGAATTTACTAATGCTGATGAATTTGAATGGCCTGCATTTAAAGATGTAGCTAAGCATGTTTTTGACAAGTCGATTTATTCCCTTGGTTTATTCTCACAAATCTCCTTGTCTTCATCTTCTGTGTTGCTGAGCACAGAAAGACATGGTGACAAGAGGAGACCACGCTACAAGATGATGCTCTGGCATGAGGTATTCGGGTTTTTTTTTTCGCATTCAATGTCCATATTACTATTCTTTAGATTGAGTAGATTATCTTGTAGACATGTCCAATTTTGTAAATCCCATTTTTATATATAGATACCCGGACATCTTGTTTTACAGATTGTTTTGTAAGTCAATATAGTTTTTTTTAAATTTGTTTTTTTTAGCCATGTCCTAAGTTAAGGATTTATCTTAGAATCGTTGATTTGTGTTCTTGTTGTCGAAAGGGTATGCCTTCAGGGAATTTAAAGTGCAAGGTTGTTAATTCTTGCTTAGAATTTGGTTGTAGATAATGAACACACAGATACAGCGAGGCTGTGGAACCTGTGTAGTTTATGGTAGTTCTATTATGAGATCTCTAGCAAATAATCAACCAAACCTTGAAAATCAAAATTATAATTATTTATTCTGACCACAGATTGCTTGTTGCGGAGCTTTTAGCTTGTTATGCTGTCTGCAGTGATAGCCAGTTGCCTTAACTTTGTCGATTTAACATGTGATTTTACAGCTTCCTGATCATGATATAACTTTGGAGGCTGCGTGGCCTGGGCTATTTCTTGACCAAAAAGGGAAATACTGGGATGTTCCTGAGTCAATATCCTTAGATATGTCATCCCTTCCCTCTGAATCTGGGTTCCAATACCGCTTTGGTGTGCACAAAAACAGCGGTCATCCCCAGCCTGTTAACACCTTAAATGGTGAGGTACCCTGTGCGTTGATGCCTGGATTATGCGCGAAGGCTGCCTTTTCTTATGAAAAGAGAAAGGATTTTTGGAGGCAAAAAGAAAAAGTTGATGATACTGCAGTGAAGACAGATAGGGGCAAGGTTAGGCACCCATCATTTGATATGCGCCTTAGTGAACCTCATGCAGCAATATCTGGGATTATTGGTATGTTGCTGCATTGTATTGGGTAGCTCTTTTTTACTAATTAACCTGGAATTTTTGTTTTCTTCTTATTAATCCAACCAACTTTTTCTAAATTCCATCATGCAAATTTGAAGAGTGTTTGAAAATTCAATTCTATTTTTGACTCGTAAATATATTAAAATAAGATTTTTTATTTTTTATTTTTTTTAATAACAATATATCAAAATAATAGTAATTTTTAATAAATAAAAGTTTATTATTTTTTAAAACACTATGCAATCCCAATCCATCTGGTAACAACGTGAAGGGTGAAGAAATTGTAATATATATATTTTTTAAAAAAATCATATCAATCGCTGTCAAAAGAAATTATTCAAGGGGCATGGGTATAAGTGCGGCGGCGGCGGCGTCTGGAAATCTCTATCTTCTCAACTGAGAGGTCAATTCTTCAAGGACCACCCGAGAGAAAACTCATCTGTCCATTCTTTCCAAATTTATCAACACAGAATTGTTACGGTTTTCGGTAACAATACTCTGTGCCTTCCTCAACAAGATAATCCTGATGAATATAAGAGGCAAAACCCCAAACAGCCTGAAGCATAGCAATTATCTTCACGCCATTCATCCTGTCATGGAAAGCTATAATGGCAGCAATAGGAGATACAGTCATGGCGACAGTACTCACCACATTGGAGGAGAGAGAAGACACCACAAAAATCAAGCCCACAGCACCAACAGAACAGACACGCTAAGTAACTGCCGTCCACACTAGAGTGAACACAAGCAACGCTACCCTTGCCAAAACTCTGCATTTCTCCATGCAAAGTCTTCCATTCCCCGCTCGCAAAAAGACCCACCACAGAAACACAGGTGGCAACAAGAGATGTGAAAATCTGCATTTCTAAAACCACAGAAAATGTTTCCTTTTTTATGATCTTCTGAAACGAAAGCTGCATGAGCGAAAGCAGTAGAGAGTGAATTGCGGAAGCACCAGGAGTGGCAAGGAAGCAAAGGATGTGCTTCCACTTAGAGACTCCTGATGGTCCTCCCGAATCGTCATTGAAAGCAATTACATTAGAGGAAAAGGAGAGAATAGCCACAGAATTAAGAATAAAAGGTGTGAACTTCTGAGAATTGATGAAGTATGAGAAGACGGCGTTAATTAAATGCTAAATGGGACGCACGAATTAGAGACGAAGTTGAAGCAGATAGACACAACAGCCCCCAGAGAATACAAATAGTTATCACCGGCTATAATTATAATCACCCCAAGAATCAAGTATATCGAGGCAAGTATTCTAACTGGAGGAGACGAAGTAGAAGAGGCTAAATGTTCTTTAGCTGAAGGAAGCAGCAGGTGTGGAATGTAAAGAATTGGAAAACCAGCAATCTAAACAACAGTTGAAGTCCATTCACTATTTCCACCCTGATCATGATAACATCTACCCAATAGAACAGCAGCAGACTGTCCTGCGACGAGGAAGATGTTGATTGTCACCAGGAGCCACCGTTGCCAGCGCTTGAGCTTGAATAACGGTGATTGCAGGGCTACGCTATTTTCAACCTTATTCAAGATTGGCTCTTCGTCATCTGTCGTTGGAAAATTTAAATTTCACAAAAAAATAAAAAACCATACTTTAACATTGAAAAGAGGGAGTTTTACAGTCATAAACCTCCTGGAATGAAACTGAGCTAAAAGAATCGTGCGCATGAAACATCATCGAATCGATTTTATCATACACTGTTTGGATACTAAGAAAAACTGCGAAAACGAAAAGAACAGCCGCTATCTAATCAATGAAACGTCAAATTTATGTTTGAAACTAATTCATGCAAACAAACAGCTCTATGTACAAGCCTATGCTCAGTTACCCAGAAACGATAATCCAACAATGAAGAATAAAAAAAAAAAAAGAAAATCCAACAATGAATATAATTCTCACCCAATCCATCACCAACTATTTTTTCAAAAAGTAAGAATTTCTAGACATAAAAATCATTTTTTAAAAAATATATTTTTCACCTCTATAACATACGGGCTGAATTAAGCTGAAACAGATATGGAAAAAAAGGTGTCTCATCTCTGCAACCTTGACCATCAAGAGGGAAACAAAAACGTAGAAAGGGCTACATATTGAGAAAGAGAGAGATACCAGCCATGCTATCTATAGTTGCTGGAGATTAATTGAAGGTGGTGTTGATATGATGGAAGCAACACGGATTCGATCCCGATACTTGTAGTTGATCAACGGCTTTACTACATTTTTTTCATAATATTTTTAATAATGTACAACATTAATTTTTTTTTTGACTTTTTTAGTTAACAATATAATTTATTTTTTTATAATTTTCAATTTGAATTAATAATCATTTTAAGAAAACTAGTTTTAATTTTGATATAAAAAAATTCAGTGAAAAAATTACTTTTCTTCTAAAAAACGAACATGTTTTTAATTTTATTGAAAATAATTAAGAAAATGAAAAAGCAAGATTGTTTTATGTTGATGAACATAATCATACATTTTCTTATTCAAGTTTACATTACACTCAACATTGTATAAAAGCACAATAAAAAACAAGGTAAATATTTTATTTCTCTACCTTGACTTGTTTCTTTGGGCATGCAATATAAAGATTTAAAACAATTATCATGAAATTTCTCTCGTTTAAATGAAACTTATTAACATCAAAATTAGTTTTTATTCATGAATAAAATTGTTATTAATAGATGATTTTTTGTTCCTTCAACCACAATTTAGTGACTTTTGAATCAAAATTGAAATCACAAAAACTACATGCACTATCAAGGAAGAAAATGTAAAGTCGAAGGACAAAAATAGAATTCTTCATTGAATTTTATTTTAGTCATAGGGTTTCTCTTTGTTTTACAACATGGTCATTTTTAAATATCTTTTTTATCAATCCTTAATAAGTCTTGGCAAATTCATCATTATTAAGAAAAAGAATGGAATTAATTTTTTTAAAAAATTATATTTTATTAGTATGATAAATTTCCTAGACTTTTTAGTATATTTAAACATTGAACTAAGAATAATTCTTAATCGACTGTTAGTGTTTTTTTATTAAGTTTAAGAATTCGTGTTTGGATATTTTTTTCTAATATTTTTTATTAATTTTTACATATAAATTTATTATAAGTCTGCAGACCAACACTTAACAGACACATTTCTTAATAAAAGTATAAATAAAAAGACAGACTTTATATATAAAAAATAAATAAAAAGACAGACTTTATATATAAAGGAAACATTGTACATGGACAAAAACTATAAAAAAATTAAGAGTATAATGCTTCCTGTTGATCGCGTGAATATAAACGACGTGCATCATGCTTCCTATTTTACATATTCTGTTGTTTTACTGAGGGAAACCCTAATTCAGCCCCTTATTATCAATTCAGTCCCAAACCTTTTAATCCTTATAATTTTATCTAAATTGTAATCAATATGTTTTCGTGTTGGATAGAAGAATTTAAAATATTACATGCAAGTTTCTTTAATCATCGCTGCAATTTAAAGGACGGAGGGTGACATTGTCTTATATTCCATAACATTCAGGGTAAGATCGAGAAACTCAAAAGATACTATGCTGAATTAATAATAATATAATATATCAGGGCTAAATCTTGAGCTTTTTACCCTTAATTACTTTGCTTTGCAGTCCAAAAAAAACGAGTGAAAGAGAGATCGAAGGAAATGGCACTGAGGGCAGCCGTGTTACGCCACGTCCGGGTGGCGGTGCAAACCCGGGAACTCAAATCAAATCCGTGGGCTACGTCCGGTTCGATCCGGTTAATGTCGTCACATGATGACCATCTAACCAAGGAAGAGGTGGCCGAAAGAGTCCTCTCTGTTATCAAGAGCTTCCCTAAAGTCGATCCCTCCAGGGTTAGAACTGATTTCAATTTCGTTTCAGATTTAATTTTTCTGATTTCTGCTGATAAGCTATCATTTAAATTCTCTGAAGATTCCTTTTGCTTCTAATTGAATATATTACCTTTCAGAATCCTCGCTGGAAATTAAATAGAATAAAATCTGTACGAGTTAGAAGATGATATGATGTTTAGCATGGATTTCTGGGATTTGTTGTTGATTCTTGATTTTTCTGATCTTGATTAAGATAATACACCCAAGGGTTTTTGAGGTCTTTAAGGAGTCCAATTTCTTTTTCTTTTTATTATTATTATGCTTTATCTTTGGTTAGTGTCGGAGATAGTGGGGAAGAGAGGACATGTCTGTCTTCTTGCGAGAGTTAGAAATCCACTCCAAAACTGTCTTAGGTTTCTTCAACCAAATACATTTCCATCACTGTACTTTTGTCAAATGACACTAATCAAACGCAATGTAACTTCGTATTTGTGTGTGCCAGTCCGATAACCCTAGAATTTAAGGACTTTTGTTTTGTAATTGTGGCAGCTGTATGCGACATTGAAGTCATGTTATTTGGTTAGTGTAAAAAGCGCGTATCCATAATTTTGGCATCCCAACAAGAAGAAATTGATGAGGTTTCAAGTGTCTAACTACCCATATAAACGTTGTGGATAGGCATGTTGCATCCCTGAGGGCATTATTTCCATTGCAGTAGTGTAGTTTGTTCGTTACTTGAGCTAGTAGCTCACTCACAAACACTTATTCTTCTTGACTTTTATAATGTTCATCATGTGAGTGTTACCTGCAGTTGATCTCCTTGCTCGCAGACAAGAAAATTTGTTTCTTTTATTATTTTTATTTTTGTGAATGATTTAAATTTCATTAGTTGAAGAAGAAAGCAGGAGCCACTCCTTGCTAAGCTAACTCCCAACTGTAGCAAATAGAAAAGTAAGTAGGCTGGCTTATAGCAGCTTTACAAGTGTTGAATTCCGCAGTCTATTCTTGAGAGAGAAGAGAAGGGAATGCAAAATATAATTAATAGCAGAGTGAATATGAAACTTTTTCTATCCATGAGAAATACATACAAACACACCAAGAGATAATTCTTCTTTGCTCCTTGCCCCTTATTGAGTGCTACTTGCCCCCTTGATTACTATGTTAACTTACATTTTGATTTTCCATACCGAGCTTAAATTCACCTGCAATTCACCTGCGCAATCCCAATCCACATGTCATGCTGAATTCTGGCACTGTAGTTATGCTTGTCTTTATTTTTTAAAAATCAAGCATCATTTCCACATATGGAAAACATTTTACTGATGTTGAATTCCAAACATATACCTGCAGGTGACTCCGGAAGTACATTTCCAGAAAGATCTGGGATTGGATAGCTTGGACAATGTGGAGATTGTGATGGCACTAGAGGAGGAGTTCAAGCTTGAAATTCCGGACAAGGAAGCTGATAGGATTGACTCTTGTAACCTTGCGATTGAATACATTCATAACCATCCACTGGCCAGTTGATTTGAGCATCGGGTTTCTCTCCCTGAATTTAATGGAAAAATTAAAATGACAATCTGTTTTGTTTGTTTTACTTATTCGGTGTTTGGATGGATTGATCCTTGTCTTGGGTTGAGAATAATCCAAGTCTGTTTGATAAGAGTAGCATTGGCAGAACAGGCATTCGACTTTATTATGCTTCAAGTCCAAGTGATCACTAGTTTCCATTTGTGAGGAACCGCTC